CTTTACTTGAAAAGGCCAAATCCATACCACTCGAAGCTCAAAATAGGGTTACAGAAGTAATATCACAACATTTTTCAAACTCTGTGCTGGAAAAGGCCAAAACCTTAAGTTTTGGTAATTGCAATAATTGCACATTCAATATTAATATTCATAAGAGTTAAAAACCTATTTTTTTAAATATTTCTTCATTTGTTAGTCATTTTGTTCTGTAAGAATTATAAATTTGTAAAGTTCCAATAAATTTATTTTTGTTGCTGTGTACAATTTTTGGCACATTTTACTTTTTTTCACTAGTGCGTAAAGTAACTAGTGAAAAAAAGTAACTTTTATATTTCTAATATTAGTGGATTATGTGTACGGTAGTAGAAAAAATATTGTATGCCACTCGTGTGTAAAGTCCCTTTTTTTACGAATGTGAATGTTGTCGCACGAGCCGTAGGCGAGTGCCGACAATCACATTACATGAGTAACTTTACACACTTGTTGCATAAATAACTATTTTTTCATTGGAATTATTGTTTATTAAACAGTTTGAAGCTTTTTCTGATTTTTTATTCAATTTTATTCTTTTGAAGGGCGTTTTCTCGAAACTCTAAAAAAAATGTGAGTTATCTTATTTTTGCAGTAACCCGACGGATTCCAAATGTTTATTTAAAAATTAGCGTGATATTTAGCACAGTGATCGATTAATGTTTTTGCGCATTCCGCTCAAGATTTTAAATATAGAAACTTACAGTTTTAAAAAGCACCTTCTTAGTAGTATATCGGGCCGCAAAAAAAAGCCTAGAGCGGCCCGCGGTCTGCAGGTTGAGTATGGCTGGATTAATCCATTCACTATTTAAAATGGCCATTAACATTTAGTAACGATGCAAAGAGTGATATTTTTAATAGACAAAAAAGGAGTTCGGTCCTGGAGTGTTTCCAAATTAAAATATGGCTTTAATTAACCTAAGACAGTGCAACTTTTCTACAAATTTTTTCTCTTAATATTTGTAGCCTTTCAAAATAATGGTCAACTCTAATTTTAGATTAGAGCCTAAGTACGGGGTGTTTTGAACTCTACCTCACATTAAACTATGTCCGTTTAAATCTGCGATACCTTGCAAAATAAGAACCATGGATTCAACCCTGAGAATAAGAGATTTGTAGTCTTTTAAATTTACTGAAACAAAATATATTTTAGATACCAATATTGTTAAAATATAAAATACCTAAACCAAATGTAAAGGAATAGATACTAGTTGTAAACTTTTGGATATGGGTGTGAACGATAACGAACTTATAAAACTGCATATCAGCACAATTTCGTTGTAGGTGTTGATTGTTTCTTACACAAAATTGATTATTATACTTCGTTCTAAATTGATATCCGAAAACATTATTCTCAAAAGTTATAGCAAAAATTTTTTGGCAGTGGACGTGTTAAAAGTTTTTTATGATTATAGCGTTAAGGCTTCTTTCAACAAAACCATGTGATTCGGTATATAGTAGAAAGAAAGAAAAATCCATTCTGGCATCTTAGAGTCGAATTGTTGACCGTCGTCATTTAAGAAGAAGGAGCCGTAGCTACACTCGTGGAATGGATAATACATCTCAACACGTCAGTTTGGGTAATCAATCGTGATTTATGTGTATTGAATGGGCCCGTGAACCGGCGGCTGTTTCACAAAAGCGAACGCCATAATATATTTTGACTAGACGAAAATGGATTTCGGAAACATTCCCGATATTCACGTTCGAAAACGTGAAAGAAACTGATGCCGTATTATTTTCTTTAACGGCAGCGGCGCCCGTTCGAGATTTTGCCTTCTTCATTCTTCTTTTTAAATGTATGTAAGAATTACAAATATGACGACGTTGGATTATTAATATTTTAGCCAAACAATATGGATCGCACCAGTTAGCTGTCTGTCAACGAGACTACGACGCGGTGGGCTTTAGATGTCTTGTTTATTAGCGATATAGATCAGTCGAATAAACTCATTTAGACGTAGTGATGGGAAAAAGAGGTATTTTTATTTAACAGTTACAACTATTATTGTTATTTTTAAATAACAGCATAAAATGTTGTTATTTTTAACATCTAGTGGTTGAACTAGGAAAGTACATAGTAAACGCCGTGCGCCTACTTAAAACTAAATAACAATACCCCAGGCCCATTCATCAATGTCAGTAGACTTGGAATGATCCAGAGTCCAAAGCGCCAGTATGCCCAGAAACTTGAACGCATGCGACACTGAAACAACAGTAGTAAATAATACCTAAATAACGATTACTAGTAGCGTTATTAAAATAACGCTTTTAACGCATGTTATTGCAAATTTGATGGCGCAATCGGCGATCGACAGCAATGAATGACATCAACCATCGCCAGCCGTTTTATGTTGTGGTGTTATTTTGTACCTGTTACTTTTAAACAAGATTAACAGTTGTAACCGTTATGATTCAAATAACAGCTTAAAAGTAACAGATAGTTAAATAACAACACATCACTATTTAGACGAGAAACAAATTATTAGCCGGACTTTGATAAGTGTAACCTACCGCACCCAGGTACCTTAATAATTTATTAATTCCATTTAATAAATATAATATTGCATTCTTATTAAATCCAAAATCCTTCATTTAACGAAAAATCTTCCAAATAATTAAATCTTATTTATGACACCTAATAAATAATATCTATAACCACGTCCGTCAAAGATCCAAATTTCGTGCACGTGTCTGGGAACCTAGATCATAAAAGATATTTCTTTTCACGAATTAATCATCATTAAAACACTTAACTCGCTTATCTTTCTAATTTTAATGTTAAGACCAATTTCGACACTATTTCGATACACAAAGCTCTCAAGGCACATAATAAATAAGCCACCCCCTTTGCACCCACATTAGTATTTCGCTGGGAACTAAAGACACACAGAGGGCACAAAAAGTATATAAATTATTAATTAATTAACTAGACGATCACTTTTACTACTACAGGAAAAAGGCGAATTATAGTAAGTATAGAATTTAAAGTAAAATATACTTGTGAGGTAAATAATAACAGTTTAGAAAGTAAAACCAGCGAACAAATAGGGTGCGCGGGGGAAGGGCCGTTACAGTGTAATGGGGGACGTTCAAAAATTTTGAAATTTTTTTTATGAATAATACAGTTCAAAATAAGGCTACATTTTAATTTTTTTTTCTATTCATTTGTCTGAGTTATAAATTTTTTAAAATGTTTGGACACTTTTGTGTTCCATGTTTCATATTTACATATATCAATTATATTTTGACAAGAAATGCAGTTAGCCCCACTGATCTGTCCCAATTATTGTCACAATATGTATTGTTTACTAAAAATCTAACTATTAAAACTTTTTTTAATATACATAAATTGTTAGTTTTGGTGGATATCAGTGTACGCTAATTTATAAGAAAAATAGCTTAGTTATTTCCAGGATTATACCTTTGGAGCTATTGATAAAGAAGAAAAGCAAAACTGAAGGGAAGAATAAGACACAAAGCTAGGTAGCACAAGAGAGAATGGGAGCAAAGTAAAAAGGTAGATGGACTTTTACCCTCATTGCGGATATAATGAAATGAATGAGTTGTAAATAAGCAAACACGAACTAATGATAACTGATCATGGCTGTTTTATGAATTATCATCACAGAATCGGTATGAAGGTCCCATTCATCAGCACGGAAAATGTCTAAATGGAGTGGCAACATTCCTAAATCATTCCGTGAATGTTGAAAACTGAATGTATAGGCGTGGCGGGGTAGTTTTGCTAGATAGCTAAACGTCCAAAATATCCAACGAGCTATGCTAGCAGTCTGCGGCGTGGATGCTATATGAATGTAAACCCCAAGTTGGTTGTACACTACACAATACAAAGAACTACATTATTCACGCATCAATTCGGATTGACCGAGAATGAACAGCTTTTAAACGTAAAATCCATATTGATGCCAACCAAACGGATTCATTCCATTTGGAGTCATGTAAATGGGGGCCTTAAGAGCGATGGGTCAATGTATGTTTTTTGCAATGAAAGAGAGATACAATGAAAAATTAACGAAGAAAAGAGAAAATAGAGAAATCACCACAAATTAAATTAACTACAGGTAATATTAATTCAAAAATGATTGAGAGCAAAGAAAACTGGAACGAAATGATGAAATCATTATGGAAGAAAAAAAGTGCGGACAATAGACGAGAGATAGCATAAGGCAACATACAACAACATATTCAACACGTCTTCTCGAAGTAATGCATATTGACAATCTCGAGAAGACCGTCCTGTGAAGAAGAGTAGAAGTTTTTTAGCAGGTAAAAAACCGGCACTATTAGGCGACTAATGTATTTTTGAAGATTTTGTTACCTCTTTTAAAAAGTACTGTGTGAAAAAAAGCTAGAAGCATGTAACTCTATGCAGGAGCTACTGTCCAGCTACGATGACACACTTTAAATAAATAGTCCCGCAACAGATCTAAAAGGACGAGGAAACAAAGACAAATAATGTCCAACTCCTTTCATATCTAATCTAATTGAATCATGTTTCAAAGCAGAGGCAGCTCGTTGCCTAGTCTACAAGGAGGCTATGGAGGCTAATTTTGAAAGGCACACCCTATATACTTTAAATATATATTTCCATTAGAATACAAAAAGCAGAAATATTACATTGCATTCTAATAGAAATATATATATTTTTATTAGATATATAGGGTGTGCCAGCCTCCTCGTAGACTAGGCCACGAGCCGCCTCTGTTACAAACTATTGCAGCGTGTGTATTCCATTTCTGCAGAAAAATCTTCAAAAAAGACAGTGAGTAGTTTTTGAAATCAGTTAGTTACTTTATATTTATATAGTTTCGAAAAGTCATTTTTAAAAATTAATAACTTTTCCCTGTATATCATATTCTATTTCGGACTATACAGCGGAAAAGCAATCAGCGATAATCCACAAGCACAAAACTTGCATTACACATATGTTCCCGTCTAAATTACGAAGCATGCAAGAAGTGTCGACAACTAAATAGAAGAAGCAATAACACGCCGATCTGCGGTCGAGGGTGTCAAAGCTCAGAATCGGTGGGGATGGAACAATACGTGACGTCACCGACAGCAGAGAGCGCTTGTCGCATGGCCAAAGCCAACGTCAGCGCTTTCAGTTCAGTCATGCCAACCGTTCAGTGCACATCGACAGAATCCGAGTAATATCGCGAGTGACAAACGAATCAGTTGTTGTGTTGTGTGTGTGGTTCTTGTTGTGTCTGTCGGCTTTTATGGAACATATTGCGACATTATGTTGACTTCTTCTAATCAATACTTGAGACCGGAGTATCTTACACCACTACCCACTACGGTGAGTTTCAAAATTAACGTTATTTAACCAGAAATTAAGATTTTAGCGGAAATAGAACAGAAATTATACAAATAAATATTTTAACGTTTTGTTTTTAAAGTTTGATAATTAACTAATATTTTTTTATCGACCTCTGTTTACAGCTGTACTCATTTACATTTGTACAGAATCACTTTTTGCACGCTTCGCAAAAAGCACTGGGTTTATCGAATTGAAAGCTGACATACTATGATTAATGAGCTTTGAGAATTGACAATAAACTGTAACTAAATGTATGTTTTCTCAATGAAGTGCTATTGATTATTTTACTAATATTAATATCCGATATGAAATGAATGGAAGAAAAACGTCTAAGTAAATTTGAAATGTTACTAACATTTAAAACATTACAGTCACTGAATGTCTACCGGTGTCGTCACCTTTTAACGTTGTACTTCTAACTTCGGCATGGTATGCTCCATTTTTCTTGGCACTTCTTGTTTATTTTGTGTACCAAAATTTCATCAGCGGGTGATATGCATAAAATTGTTACTCCATATTGTAGCTAGCAGCGACTTATTCTAATAATTATGTACTCCGTTTTAGTAAGCATAAAATATCTGACGAAAAATTAAGACACCACTCGGGATTTTAGAGTGCCTAGATATTTTTTGACTCAACTTAGTTGCGAAAATCGTGGAATATTCTTGATATATCCTCTCTTTTAAATTGACGTAGTATTGCATATCTGTAGTCAGTTACATTGTGGTCTTTAATTCCTTCTTGTTCGTCGAAATCAGTCTTCATCATTGATGTGCATAATCAAGTTGTACAAGATGTAGTATGGAATAGGAAAATTATTTAAGTCGTTCTGGTGTAACCAACAAATTCACGGAGTTATAGCATAATTAGAGTCTCTTAATAAGAGAGCACTGGTATTGTTTTATTGCGTAACGTTTTTCCATATCCTTAAGTCGTGTACTGATCCTGGCCAAGAAGTATATATGCTCTAGAACTCTGTGATTGAATTGCAAATTGTTTTCACGTTGATACTAGTAAAATTACTTGATAACGTATTAATCTCAATTAATAGATGATTTAAATATAGGTACATGTGTACAATATCTTCATAAAGGATGGACATTTTCTTCAAACAATGGATGTATATACAATACGCGCCATAACAATGGCAATAAAAAAGTATATTGTCAAATTTTAGTCACAAATATCCTCTTCTAAACCCGTTTAGAATCCTGAATCGCTAAAACATAAAAAATCCTTATTCGTTCTTCGTTACTCAAAGCTACTCCTATTGTTTGCTCTTCTTCCATGAAAATGATTAAGCTTTTCTTAAACGATATAAAGCACAATACCCCTATTAATGTGATTTACTACGAACCTTATACACCTTGGTAGGCTGATACACAGGCTTAAATTCTGTCATCCCATACGCGGTTTCAGGTTTCTCGCATTTTTGAGAGTACTCGGTGGTTGGGAAGTAGCTCCTTCCGTAAAGATTAAACACTTACAAGTTCGACTTTTTACTAACAATTTTTTTGCATATCAAATAAAGTATTACTTTGAAAATGTGAGTAAAAAGAAGATGCCCAACTTTATGCATATCATCTCTATCGATATTTCATCTAATTTGTTTTAAACCACTTCTAACCTTGATCTTCTACATCTTCTTTCAAGAACTACCATCTAGGTGGCTGGTAGTTTTCCTTTGTTTGTCTTATTCTTATCCATGGTCTTGTCTTTACTTTACACGTAAAATATCGATCGTAAAATTATTTATGAATTATTAATATTACTTTCAATTTTAATATCGTAATAGACTTGTTTTTCATTAGTATTTAACAATTTATTAAAGTTATTTATAGTTGTAAACAAAACTTGTTGACTGTATAAAAATAATTAATACTTTTTTTAATTTTACTATTTCATAGAACTAATTTTGATCATTTTGTTTCAGTTGGACGCAAAAAAGAGCCCATTGGCTCTGCTGGCGCAAACTTGCAGCCAAATAGGAGCGGACGCGCCCAACGCTAAGTTGATACAGAGTTCAGAAAAAGCAAGCAAATCGTCTAAAAGTGACATCCACAAAGACAAAAACGAACAAGCCCACAAAAGTGCGTTGAAAAACGACGGGAATAGTTTTAGAGAAAAATCTAAATCGCCAGAAGAACGTTCCAACAGAGTGAGAACACCTGTAATATCTAAAAGTATACCGAACGGTCGGTGTTCTAGTAATCTCAGTTCTCCAAGAGCTTCTCCAAATGAAAGAAAAACTCCAGCCACGGAAAGCAGTTCTGAACGAATAAGTACTCCTGATAAATGCGGTGATAGGAGAAGTCCTCAAACGCCGTCATCATCAGCTTCCAAAACGGCTTTTACTCCAAATATTTTGACATCATCTTCAGACCCAGCAATAAAGGACCTACCTTTGGGTACTTTCAAACCAGGAGTTCCGCACACGAGTTCTCCGTATTTAACAGGATACCCAACCCCCTCGTTCACCCTAGGAATGGACTTGATGACCAGCACGTTAATGAACCAACACCACGCTCTGAAAGGCAGCGGTCTAGTTCCTTACATCGGTTACTCGAGATTAAAAGCTCAAGATACTATTTCATCAGTGTGTCGAGATCCTTATTGTACAGGATGTAGTGTTAGTTCTCATCTGTTAGGTGCCTCAAGTGCTCTCAAGTCGTGCCCGGCTGGCTGTACGCAGTGTGATCATCCTAAACCCCCCACGAGCGTTGGGTACTTGAGCCACAGTCCGGCAGCAGCGGCGTACGCTCACGCGCAGTTAGCAGCCTTGGCTGCCGCTTCCCATTTACCGTACGTGTGCAATTGGATATCAGGCGACGCCGCTTATTGCGGCAAAAGGTTTTCCAGTTCGGAAGAGCTGCTCGGTCATTTAAGGACTCATACTAGCGGTGCTATATCCGATAGCGGCTCAGCTCTATCCATGCTGGGCTCACCAGGACTGCCTCCGACGCATCCTTTGTTACATAGAACATATCCTACGCCGCCGCTCAGTCCTTTAGCGACGGCGAGATATCATCCTTACAGTAAACCGTCCTTGTTACCCCCGTCTTTGAGTTCAGCTTCGTTAGCGGGATTCCAGTTTGGCCATCCCGGTTTATCACCATATCTGTCTCCATATTCGATATACGGTCCAAGGCCGCAATAGGAACGAACTAAACCAAATATGTTGCTGTGTTAACAAGGACTAGTCTTACAAGTTTACCTAAAAAGACTTTCGACTCACTTTTGTTTCACCCGGTGTATTATTGTGTGGACGTGACAGTGTGATATTATTTATAATACTTGTATGTACATTTTCCGAGTGACAAGATGTTTGTCTGTAGCGAGTTGGTGTTGTCAATTGGTTGCCATGTAAATTAGCAGTTACACATGATTGAAGGAAATATACGATTTAAGATTATTAATAAATAATAAATATGAACAGTTCTATAAGTGATAGCATTTCTACTTAGTCTACTGCTATCTGGTATAATAATATAATGAGGTAGAAAAATAATAAGGTTCTTGAATTGAAAAAGCAATTGATTGGAACGAAAGACGTTAGAGGTGAGAAGTATTACACATAATAGAAAAACATTTTAAATTAATATGAAAGCACAAAATACACCAAAAACTGCTAAAATTTTAATCTAAGGTAGACTTTATATAGAATTTTTTTCTGGAAGGCAATTTTTGACTGATTAGTCTTTGTGTTTTTTTCTGTATTTTTTTATAAAAAAAATTCTACGCCATTTATTAACGTGATTAACCTCTTTTCTACAAACTTTTTAAAGCATTTCGTGCCTTTAACGTGTCGTTTAATTTCCATAATCATTTTTTACATTAATCTTTGCTTCTTGTTTTACAAGAATAAAATTAAGTTGTAATAAAACATCATAAATGTTAAAAATTTCTTTTTCTATCTATATTAATTTCTAACCAGTTTGCCTTGTATTGAATAAATACCTACAACGCTGTTATTCAGCAATGACAAAAAAAACATTATTTTTATAAAATAGTTTCATGAAAAATCAAACAAAAATGTTTTAAATATTGTTTAATAAAAACACATTTAAATTATTTAAATAATAAAGTTATTTCTTCAATCTCTAATGCTTAGACAAAAAATTGTAATAAAAAATCACTCAATATTCCTTTTTAATATTTATTACTCATTTTTTTTTTGTTCATAATAGTAGTAGATCCGTCCGTACAATTTTTGCACTAATCTTTTTTTTAATCAAAATACAATTTTTATAGATAATTATTGATAGTACTTTATTTTCTACTTTAAGGTATGTATCTGTTATTTATGATTATAGAAGACAAATATTCGAACAAGAGTTGTCGGTCATGTTATTTTCTATAGTTTTGGTCATATACAAGATTTTTTTAAATGTACCGTAATGGAGAGATTTGAAGAAATCTGTAAAATTTTATTTTTTAAGTATATTCATTGGCATTGAAGTTATGAAATTTTTTGAATAATTTTTATTTGTAAATCAGGTTCTGAAAACTTTTTGATTAGTATATTATTTTATTGCCAGCGAAAATAACGAAAAAATTAAAATTTGCACGTTTTCTCCAATTTCTCCATTACGGTTCATTTTAGAGAAATCATGTAAATTACCAAAATTATAGAGAATAACTTCACAGCCAACTCTTGTTGGAAGAATTTTCTTCTATAATCATAAATAACAGAAATATACCTTAAAGCAGAAAATAAAGTACTTAATAAAGTAAAAGCACTTGCGGTTACATATTCATAGGCAACTTTGCAAAACGGTATTTTTTTTATCAATAATTAACTATGTTTAAAAACAGATGAATGCAGAAATACAGACAGAAATTAAAAAATTAATAGCTATACAAAACAGGTGAGGTCAATGCTGCGTCCAATCTTTATGTTCTCGTTCTTTTACCAATCCATATTTATTTTAATTCTGGTTTTCTCATAAATGAAGTTTTTCTTCGTGATGAAAGAAGATTATCAACTTATTTCCAAAAGTATTAAAAAAATGTTCTAGTAACTACGTAAAACAAGACAACTATTACAATTTTCATAACTTTTACTATTTTTAGATGCAAGTGCACAATTTTAAAATGTATTTATTTTTTGGATATAATTTTTCTGATTGTATTTGGCAAAAAAATTGGCGACACCAACTCGATATTGATCTTAACTTTATTTGTAAATATTATATTGTTAATTAAACCTACAATTTAACAGTAGGTAAGTTCCAAAACTGATATATGTATATATTTGTGTACAGATCTCAGTCAAGAAATGATTTTGTGCTCGAAATTTTGAGCTTCTGATGGTTATTTTTTATTTATTTTGTCCAGAAATTCTGTTTTTGTTAAATGTATGAAAGATAACACTGGAAATTAAAATAGATAATTATATTTTTAGCAGGAATGAATAAATTGGTCAGTATTTAACTCTCAAATTTGTACTTCTACTGTTACTTATATACTATCAGATCACATGATTTTGTGTATTTTTGTAATTATAAAAAATTATAATGGAAGAAATTCGATCCATATTTTCAAGTTTGAAATAATTTCTCTTTTGTTTATACCTCGAAATCCAGTTCTTCAAAAAACTATGTAATTTTAGTTAAAAGTTTATATTTTATATTGTTAAATTTTTGATGTAATTATTGTTTTATGTCTTAAAAAGTATATTAAAATATTTAATTCACAAATTTCTTTTCATTTATTGTACCTAATTATTGAACCCTAGAGTATCCGTATTTAATACAGGTTTCGGGAAACATTTGTCGTGTTATCATGTTACAGGGTAATTCAAGAAAGTGACAATTTCAATTTTTCAAAAAAGATAACTCCAAAATTATATTATTTAATAAAATTATCTATGGAAAAACATTGAAAACAGTACCCTTTCCAAACATGTAAAGAAAATTTTTAAAATTTGTTTTTAGAGGGTGTTGATTTGAGGCTGGAAGTGTTTCTCAATTTTTTACCAATCGAGATATCAATTTGTTTAATAAATATCCTAATCGCTTGGATTACCATGAGAAATGTGAGAATCTAATCTACTTAGTCGTTATAAAACACGAGTCAAGCAGCCCAACGAACATTTTGGTATGGGGAAATAATGGCCCAATAACTGTCTGCCTTCAATTATGTGGCCTTTTAACTTTTACCTGGTCACTATAGCTGACAGTCAGCAAACAGTTAAAGGACTTTTATCATCCCAAAGTCACAAAGTCATACAGTTAAATGGCCTTTAACAGTCCTATACTATTTTTATTGTTAAAACTTCGATGGCTGACTGCAGGACCAATATTGTCCATTTTTAATGGGCAGAACCGAGTTGGATGGCGTTTGACCTGTACCACCTAAAATCCAAAAAGGGAAGGTACGAGTTGGATAAGAAATATTTTCTTCAAAATTAATTTAAATCCATACAAATATCCGCCGTTGTTGCTATATGACCAGGAATATAAAGAAAACACAGAAACATCAAAAACATTTATTTAGAAACTTTATATATTACATTAAATTACTAAGACTAATACAAATTAAGAAGGTAAAACTAAAAGTAAATTAAATAATTTTAAAATAATTAGACACTTGTTGAATGAATTCAAATTTTGTTATTTTATTTTTAGAACGTTTATTCATTTTTAGATTTACAAATTTTCTTCTTAAAATATTTTTATAAGTTTTGCTAATAAATATTACTGCTTCTTATTTAAATATAAGTACTAATTTGAAACTCTAAAAGTACTGTTAAAAATTGGTGTATGTTTGAATAAGAATTATAAAAAGACTTATTATAATGGCTGATGATGATTCACATGCATCTGTTGTTCTATACAGGGATTTCATTTCAAAACTAGCCACTCAAAATAACTTTTAAAATATCTTTAAAACAAAAAAAATACGTTAATTTATATTTACGGGGGAACACATTTTACAAGTATCTGTAACCGTGCAGTTTCATCCCCTGAGCGGTGGTGAATATCACTTCTAAAATATTAAATAGAAAGAGGTATCATGTTATAGCTCTTCTTGAAGGTCTCTTTTTTTCCAATCTTCTGACACATTATTTTTTTAAATCGGATTAATTTTTCACCAAGTTATGCCATTTTAAACTTTTAAATTAAAATAATTATTATTTACATTGTATTTACATTATTAATATTTTATTTGCGTAAGAGTTACATTGTACTTAAATAAGATGTTCAAAATGTCCGCCATTGTTGGGAAGGCAATGGTAAAGTCGCAGCTCGAATTCATCCCGCACTTTTTGAAGCGTCTCTGGTGTAATCCGCTCACACTCCTCCACTATTCTACGTCTAAGTTCAGGAATATCGCGAGGTTGAGTTTTATGCACCACAGTTTTTAGATGTCCCCATAAAAAAAAGTCCAGGGGCGTTAGGTCGGGTGATCTCGCTGGCCATTCTATGGCGCCCCTTCTTCCGATCCATTTATCTGGAAATGTCTCATTAAGCCAATTTCGTACAGGCAAGGTATAATGTGGAGGTGTTCCGTCCTGTTAAAAAAATAGGTTTTCTTCGTCTAGTAACAAATTTCCATCTTGATCTATTTGGTTTTCTAATGATTCGGTTATAAGAGGATTTATCAGATTTTCTAATAAGTTCAAATACAATTCCCCAATTAAATTTTCCTCCATGAAAATAGGACCAATAATTTTATTACCAAGAATTTCGGCCCACACCTTGATTTGCTGAGGATATTGGCTGTGCTCTTCCCGAAAAACATGTGGATTTGTATTGTCCCAGTACATACAATTATGTTTATTGACAAATCCATTTAAAAAGAAACCTGCCTCGTCAGTAAAACAAATATTTTTAATAAAATTATGGTCTTCATTTGCCCTTTGAGTCATTAATTCGCAAAATTCTAATCTTCTGTCATAATCATCCTCAGCAAGCTGTTGTAAAAGCTGTATTTTGTAAGGAAATAATTTATTTAGCCGTAACGTTTTATGCACAGAGCCAACGGAAATATTTGTTAATCTGAACTTTTGGTATTGATGTTTGAGGTTCCATGGCAAAATGACCTAAAATCTCAACTTGTGCAGCTTCAGTTAAAACTCTACGATTCCTTACAGTTTTATTGCTCACACTTCCAGTTTCTTGAAATTTATGAACTAAATCCAACACATACTGATGCCCAACATTTTTATCGGGATGTCTCTGATTAAAAACACAAGCATTTCTGCGTGCACAGCGTTGTTCTTCACCATAAATAAAGATTATTTCAATTCTTTCTTGTAAGGAATAAACCATTGTCAAAATTAAATTGTCAGTACACAACGAAACCAATAATCTACTAATAATAAATTGTTTTAA